GATTTCGCCAAAGCATAATCTTGACTTTCGTTTGGGAAACACCTTTACAATAATTCGACACAATTTCTGGCTTATTAGAGTCAGTGCATCAAAATTATGAAAATTTTAACAAAATCATGCTATGAAAAAGTAGCTCTGGCCAAGCCTAAAATAGCTCCCGTAAAAAAAATTACGAGAGCTCTTTTTTTATACAAAATCAAAAAAGAGCTCTCGTAAAAAAAAAAGTTATTTTTAGGCTGGTACATTCCGTCGACTATTTGTCATATTCCTGCTCTCCACACCTCTAATCTCCATGTCTACAACACCTTGGTCAGTGAGCCTCTTCTCCCCACATGCCCATCCTTTCAATTTCTGCAACCTAATAACCTACCAACAAATAACATTCACCCAGCTCACTCCTCCACCTCCTAATCATACCATGTACACATCTACCTCTCCAGCTCCCGTGCAATAAGTCCATATGCTACCGAGGATACTCCAGCACAGCCATATCCCTTGATTGTTGGGCCGAGTACTCCCAACTCTCCCATCTCTGGCATGATCTCCTTGTGAAAAACTGCCAACATGAAATGACATTCAAACAACTATATGAGAGATAAGATTCCACACAAACACACAATAATATGGGAATAAATATTATGTGTTTTCAAACCATCTTGAATCATTTTTGCTAGGTTATGCTTGCCACACAAATTATGCAACAAAAATGCATGCATATTTCTTTCTAAACTATTATCTATATATCTAATCTGTATATTTACATAAACATTCTAATCTAAACAATTTCCTTTTGCACTAACAGATAGATATATGGTTCTATTATTGTTAGCAATCTACGGCAAAGTGCGCACATTCATTACGAAAGGACTCTGTGATTCTAGGCAGCAGTTTTTCTGAGCAATACTGCCGGAACTGGTCCCTGATCATTTTCTCCTCGTCTGTGAACAAGCTCTCCGCACACAGAGGGTCCTGCCAATCAAATGCTGGTGATTTGTCTGTGCTGCTCATCAGTCTCTCAGCTATATGAACTCAGTTAAGGAAGTTCTAACCTACTAGAGTGTTACTAGAGACAACTATACAATATTAAGTGCCTACCATACAAAGAGAACACTACAGCTCAGAAGTGCTTAGATCAAGGATCAAGGATTTCCCTATATAAATCTTAGAATCTGGAAGATGCCTAAATAAATGATCTAGTGTAGTGAATCACAGCCACAGGAATATTTTACTTTAAAACTTTATGTTTGTTGGTTTAATCATTAAGAAACAAAGCCATTGCCATTGATACTATCAATGATATAGTCTTATTCTCTTAATTATATTAACAAGAAATTGCTTTTAGAGCCATATATCATATTGTAACACTAAACCCAAGGACATTTGAGGAACGTGCATTGTCACAATGATTGTGTATTTTGAAATATTTTGTATATTGGCCTACCAGTACCACTACCAGCAGTAGTACAGTACAGACTACAGTAGTACAGTACCACTAGACATAGCTCTAGTACTATAGCCCGCGGATAGCTGCCGCAGGTATATAGCCGAGGTAGCCGCAGGTATATAGCCGAGGTAGCCGCAGGTATATAGCCGAGGTAGCCGCAGGTATATAGCCGAGATAGCCTGCGGCAGCTATCCGCGGGCTATAGCATTAGAGCTTTACACTAGGCACTACCAGTAGTCAGTACCAGTGCCACTATCACTAATGCTAGCAGTAATAATTATACTATAGTAATAGTAATAGTAATAGTACTAATTACTATAGTCTATATAATATAGAGTATACTACTACTACTACTAGTCTATACTAGTACTGTAGTATACTATAAACACATAATGCATTATTGTTCAAGCGATACAGTTCACATAACAACGAAAAATTTGACGATTTGGGTAATATTGCATTTCTGCAAAATGTCCGTCGAATACATTTGAAGATATGACATTTTTAACAGTAATTGAGTAACAGCTGTAATAAAAACACCAACACTTGTCTGCTACACTGATACCGGAAGCTAACGTGGTGTAGTACGGATATGGACCTCGGTGTATATAAATTCAAAACTAATTGCATTCACTTAAATTAAACGTACAACACGTTGCGTTACAGTTAAATCTAACTCGATACTTTAAAACATATGTATAAATATGTGTATTATATATAATCGTGATTTTTATGTGATTACGTCAGCTATAACAATCAACAGGCTCCGCCCAATGCGCTAAGTCATGGCATGACCTGGCAGAGACAATATTGTGTAATTTGGCAAGCTGCAGATGCTTATTGGACTCATTAGATCTCGCTAAACAGCTAAATGAAGAGCATCAGAAGATAGTAGGCGCTATAAAAGTCTTACCAGTCTTTAGGAGAAGTATGCCAATATCGTATATCTTACTTGTTATGTATTCGGCGGTTTTGCCAGTTGTCCCATTCGCTGCCATCTCTGCACGACATTTGCGGCCTGAAAGGGTCGCTCAAAGTAGCGTTTATGTCCCCAGTCACACATACACGACGCACGGCCCCGCACTGAAAATCAGCAATTTTGGCCAGTGCGTTTGTCGTTCGCTAGTGTGCGTCAGCATTCTCGTCGAGCGCGCTGGACCAACGCTATGCATTCGTTGTCATTCGCTCGTGCGCGGCGTGTGCGTCGGGATTTTCGTGCATGCTCAAAATTGTGCGCGGAGCTCAACGCATAAAGGTACACGCCAGAAGGACGCCAGACACGCGCAGAGCGCGCTGGACCAACGCCAGACCCACGCGGAGCACACGCTGGGTATTCGTTGTATGTTCGCCGGCTGAGGTGTAGCGAACACCTAGCGCACACCTAGCGCACACCTAGCGTGCTTCTAACGCATGTACAGCGAACATGCAGCGCATATGGGCGTGCTGAACGAGTGCTGAACGAGTCTGTAGCGCGCCCAGCGTTCTTCTAGCGTGTTCCTAGCGTGTACGCAGCGTGTAGCCAAGGGGCATATAAACGGGTCTCGCCCACCTCCTCATCATCACTTCTCCGCCGACCCTTATGGGTGATGACAGAGATGCCTGCTGATCGTGTCTCCAAGAACCACTTCAGAAAATGGAGGATCCCGACAGGCTGCGACTACAATACGAAATCGCGGTTCTCCAACATCAGCAGAACCTCATGGAACTGGCACTTCACCAAGTCCATGTCATCAAGAGAAGGAGAAAGAGAAGAGGTCAGCGGAGGTTCTGGGTCCGACCGTGGATCGGTAGGCGACGACAGTTTGGCCTGTATGACCAGCTACTTGTTGAACTCCGTAACGAAGACCAGGCAGCCTTCAAGAACTTCATGCGGATGCCCCCCGAGATGTTCGACGAGCTGCTAACCAGAGTGGGTCCGAGGATCACCAAGCAGAATACAACCTACAGAGAGGCCCTCGACCCTAGCCTGAAGCTTGCCCTCACTTTGCGGCATCTTGCCTCTGGGACCAAATATCACTCAATGTCCTATGGGTGGAGGGTGCTTCACAACACCATATCCCTGCTCATCCCAGAAGTTACCTGTGCGCTGACTGTGCGTTGGCTGTGCGCTGACTGTGCGTTGGCTGTGCGCTGACTGTGCGTTGGCTGTGCGCTGGCTGTGCGTTGAATGCGCGGTGCATGCGCGGACCATTCGTTCCATGCGCTAGCAACACGCTGTGCATTCATTGGATTTTTTAACATGTGCGCCCTGTATACGCTCTGTATGCGCCCTGTATATGCGCAGCGCGCTAGCAACACGCTGTGCATTCGTTGTCAACTCGCTAGCTTCTCCCAAATCCTGACAAAAGTTGGGCGCACAACGACGCACTGATCTATTTTCCATTTTTTGATTAATTTTCAGTGCGCGGGCCGTGCGTCGTGTATGTGTGACTGGGGCTTTACACACCCATGTTGTGAGTTTGGTTAATGTGGGGGTACAGTCTTAAAAATTGACAGAGGTCATCTTGAAGGTGTTGTCAACTAATTTCGAGCAAGGGTCCCTCTGATAGTACCCTGGGGGACATAGACCCTATGGCTATGTCAATATGAGCGACATTGCATGTCTGTATATATATATTATTATATATATATATACTCAGCCTACGTCAATGCACGCACCGCATGTGACGTAACCGCATAATGATTACTCTTCAAAGTCCAAGGGTTTGTATCGAAGACAGAGCGAGTCAAAGTGGATCAAATAGACAGATCAACACTGTGGATTGCAGTAGATAAAGCTTCAATATCACAATTTACCAAATGAGGAGGAGGAAGAGAATTCTGATATGAAAAATGACATAACTTAGTGAAGCTAAAATTAAAACAACCTTTTGAAGATGGACAATGTCGAAGAAAATGATCACAGTCATGTGATCGAGTGTTATGAATAACTCAATAAGCTTCATATGTAGTACTAGTAGCAAATAGACAATGGAATTAGTCAAGCAGTAGTGTGTTTAGTTTATTCATTTAAACTGACTTTGTGTCTTATGTATCATTATCAGAGTCTGAGAGTGAACTGCCATTTTATACTGGTTTCAACTTTCAGGTAATCCAGTGTGAACAGGTGGCAAGTAAGAGGTGGGAGCTCACTGATGAAGGTAGACAGGTGTTGAAAAATGGAAGCCATGAAGCTCATGTGTTCAATGCTATACCAACAGAGGGAATAACTCAGGCAGAGCTTATGGTATGTCCCTGGGTCTAAAATGTGAGGGTGAGGTAATATAATTGCCAAAAGTACTGTGTGAAGATAATTTGTTTTATCTCTGAAGCGAACACAGTGCTCAGGACATATACATAGTTGGATCTGTTACTTTTTAGTCTACAGAGAATATACAGATGGTATCTTTTCAGGAGAACTGAATTGAGGAGAATTGAATGTACCAGAATCAATATCCTTCTTCTGGAAGTTTATGTTTGTTCGAAAAATTTTTAAGTTAATAACTTTATGAGCTAATTGAAAGAGGATGAATACCTTAAAGCAATAAGTATTGATTAGCACAATATACATTGCAAGGTAAGTCACCGTAAAAACCAATCCATTTTGTGCTTATTTCAGAAAATTGTCCCAAATGCTAAAGTTGGGTTTAGCAAAGCAATGTCGGCCGGTTGGATTCAAATAGACAAGAAAGCAGCAGGTGGTCCCAAGGTGACAAGAAAGGTAGTGATGCAGGCACATATATACAGCAGGTTCACCTGCATAGAGCACTAGAGAAATACTAGAAAATAATTTCTATGTGTCGTTGTCTTCATACGTATGCAGACAGAGCAGAGGAACTGAAGTTTCATTCTGGGGAAGCTGCATATGTAATGTCCGTGTGCTCTTACTCATTAGGTCGATTCCATAGAAGACAAAGTGAAGCTGTTACTAGGGCAGATACAAGATCTGAGTGTCAATGATGTCACAGAGAAAGACAAGCTCGAATTCAAGAAGAGGAAGATGCTGCAAGAGGTGTAAGTGTCTTCATGTCATGTAGGTGGCAGCACAGTATATAACCTACTATTATCTGGCACTTAGTATTAAAGGAATAATAGGTCCATTGATTATACAATGTTGACGAATGCTAGAGTAACTGGCACCTTGTGTAGTTAATAAGTGCATTACCTTATAGCCAAACGCGTATTAGTTTGTCCAATATCACTGCTGGTTACTAAGAAATGTCTAATTGAAATCCGCAGTCCAAGAAATCAGTTGACTGAGTTGTTTACAGTTTCCATGCAGTTTCAAACCGATGGGTGTGATACAGATTTATAGTGCACCGGACATTTTCGCACGCATGCTCGGCCGTACGCAATGCTATCATCAGTGATTTCGTAAACACGGACGCTCGTGATAAGGAACTTTTTGTCCGGGCTGTCCATGTGCGTCCGTGATTAGTACGTGTGTTTTACTCCATTTCCATGTATAGTCCGTCACCGTGGTTACACCGCTGACCCCTCCATTTCATCTGGCGTCCAAAACATACGGACCGCACAAATGTTTACGTCATCGGCGACTTATCGCTTGACTCCTGGATAACATTTACGGCACGTAAATGAATATCAACAACCGATTTCAAATCTTGCTTGTAATGTAACCAGCAGTGATATTGGACAAACTAATACTCGTTAGGCTATAAGGTTAGGTACTTATTAACTACACAAGGTGCCAGTTACTCTAGCATTCGTCAACATTGCATAATCAATGGCCATATTATTCCTTTAACTACACAAGGTGCCAGTTACTCTAGCATTCGTCAACATTGCATAATCAATGGACCTATTATTCCTTTAAACAAATTTTTAAACCACTGTTCACTGTACTGTTAATTTGGGAAAACATTTCCCAGTGTGCCCATTCTTTAAATTATGACTTCTATTATTATATGCTTACATAATTCATATATATGTAATTATGTCATCATAATTCTGCAGTATGTCATAGAACAATAATTGTATGCATTGCAAATTAAGGAGTTGCATTATGGAGCATTATTTTGGTCAGGATATTGAAGAGTTACCTACTAAAGAAAGGAGCCGAGTTCAGTACATCTGTGGAGAAGCCAGAAACGGACCTCACTCCCGAAATGATTACAAGGTATATAATGGGAATTTTATTAATTCTCTTAAATCGACTACATCACGAATTTTCTATGGTGTATATTTGTAAAATTTTTGTTGCCATTTTTTACATTAAAAGTAAGTACTAACGGGACTAAATGTATCGTCAAATTCTTACCTGATAAGATTGTTTCTCAACTAGTTAAAAATCCAAAAAACCTGGGACGATTTGATATTATGATCCTGACATTAATTGCTTGCTATAGGCTATGTATGAGTCACGAGTGTATGTTTACATCGAACAATATAGTAAAATAGGAAGTATAATGCAGCAATTTAACCGTTTTAACGGTGATGTAATCACTTTAATTGTAATGTCTAGCCTTTGCATTTTGATTTTATTAATAAATGTCAAACTGCTTTAATATTCAATGCATATATATATTGTGATAGCTGGTTTCAGAGCAACCCACAAGGTGCCGTGCAAATCCTGTCAACATATATATTTACCCCTATTGAATTCTGTGGTAAAATCTGAGTTACAGTGAATTCTCATGTGTTTATGTTTTAGTGGATCATGGTGTACTAAAAAATTTAAACCATACAATTTCGATGCACTGGGCGTGACACCACCTAGTGGACATTTGCATCCTCTACTGAAAGTGAGAACACAGTTCAGGAACATATTTTTAGAGATGGGGTAAGTGTTGTTTTCGCATTGCGTTCACTGTCTAAGAACTTCTCTGACTGAGTAAAACTACAACTCTCACATCCTCTTATGTGCAACTCAACCTCGTACTTACCAGGGTGCGAAATTAACGGGAGTCCGGAGTCAAATACTCCCTGATTTACTGTCGGACTCCCTGATTTGACATATGCAGGAGTCCGTGTGACTCCCTGAATATTCTGCCATACTAACTAGTTCGTTCCGGAGCACGGCCTCGCGGAATTACCGTATTTTTTCAGCTAATGTCCAAAGAAAATTTGGCAGTGGTGCAACTGCATGAATCTTAAAAATAAGCACATGAGTTATTGTTAATATCTTTAATTTTGAACCTCAGACTGCGGACTCCCTCATTTTGCCGCGGACTCCCTCTTTTTGAGGATAGGGAGTCCGTTGGACTCCCGTGTTCAAAAGTTAATTTCTACCCCTGCTTACTATGTGACATTGTGAGGGTAAAACAGCCTTGCAGGGTGTTACAAACTTGTTAGTTATGTACTGTGTTAACAATAATCTTGCCGCTTTAGCAAATAAAATTATTTATAATGGGCTCACAATGCTCACAAGGGCTCACAATGCGCATCCAAACGCTAATTTCTCCAGTACTAGACTAGCAAATACTTTGTGTCATGCATAATCACACTACCTTATGACAAAATAAACTTTAGTTGCTCCCATTTCACTGCGCGTTTGCTTAAAACCCACAAGAAAGAGGTGAGAAAACTGGCATTCTGGCGCAAATGCCGACTGTTTGCCAAACAATATAGTCTCGAAGTGGTGACGTGACGTCACATGTTTTTATCTTTGCTGCGCTCGTACCGCTGTACCGCAGCACCGCTGCACGGTTGCTTGGGGATTGGGGAAACTGTCAACAACATCAGAGAATTTCAACAACATTGGAGGTATTTTCAAAATACCTTTTATAAGACAACGTGCAGTGAAATGGGAGGAACTAGAGTTTATTTTGTCATAAGGTAGTGTGATTATGCATGCCACGAACTATTTGCTAGTCTAGTACTGGAGAAATTAGCATTTGGATGCGCATTGTGAGCCTTTAAGTATAATAATAATTATTATTTCAATTTGATTAACATATTATTTAAGTAAGCTGAATTAGTATTTGCTTTAAAAAGAAGTCTGGCCTGATTACATTCACTGTCGTTGTCACTAAGCATGTTTTTACTGCGAAATTGAAGCACGTATGTGTTGTCTGTGTTCCGGCAGGTTTACGGAGATGCCGACGAACAACTACGTGGAGAGTTCCTTCTGGAATTTTGACGCGCTGTTCCAGCCTCAGCAGCATCCGGCAAGAGATGCCCACGACACGTTCTTTGTATCAGGTGAACATTGTTTCACGGGGCATCAAATGGCGAAGGCCTGTCAGACAGGCTTGTTGTGAGCCATCTGCGTCTCATCACTTATTATAAAATAATTGTGGTTTCGAATGATGTTGTATTGTGAAGATCTGGTTATAATGAAAGTAGTGTCTTGTGCAACAAGACTAGACAACTAGCAATTGATGTTTTTTATTGACTTTTTATATGTCGCATTTTAGACCCAGCACTAACAGAGAACTTGCCAATGGACTATTTGGAACGTGTAAAGAAGGTCCACTCTGAAGGAGGGTATGGATCGCAAGGGTAAGTTAACTATCAGTAATACAGGAATTTAATTAAACCTTTCTAGCCAATCACTAATTATATAAAACAACCTAGCACCAAGAATTATCAGTAGGTTATGAAGAAGAGACAAGAGTCTAAATCTGACATTACATTTTGGAGACTGCGAATATGTGCAGTAATCATTTATTTATCATGCGTGTAGTGACCAATATATAATGATAATTGGCATTTAAAAATGCATTGTTTTTAAATTGTTAGTGCAAGTTCATATTTTCATGTTAACATTTCCAATTGTCATATGTTTGTTATTGATGATAAACAACAGTCTGCCTCAAATCACTATTTGTTAAACGCACGTCGGGTGCCAATATATTGCAGGACTCTGGTCTCAAGGTTGAACGAGGCACTGATCTTCAATGACAATAAATGAAGAGCAGGTTGGCTAAATTATAATGATACACATGATTGTCACTTCAGTTACAAGTATGATTGGAAGATAGAGGAAGCCAAGAAGAATCTTCTCCGGACCCACACCACAGCTGTGTCGGCTAGAATGCTCTATAAGCTTGCACAGGTGTGATGAATATCTATGTAATTATGTGCACTATGGGCAAGTGATGGTTCGATACTGAGATAGCATCAGTAGAGTTAAGGCATGCGGGTAGTAAGATAAGAAGAAAGAGGGGTTAGATAGACAGGGAGACAACAATTAGAAGTGGAAAGGTGGTTGAGTCAGAAAATAGTGTAAGGTCTGATCGGACATATATCTTAGTATCCTGCATGGGACGTCTAACTCATGTTGTCTTGTGTTACAGGAGAAGGAATTCAGACCTGTGCGCTTATTCTCCATTGACCGAGTTTACAGGAATGAATCGCTTGACGCGACACATCTGGCAGAGTTTCATCAGATAGAGGGCGTTGTAGCAGACTATAATCTCACACTCGGAGATCTCATGGGCATCCTTGGAGAGTTCTTCAAGAAATTAGGTAATTTTTTATAGAATTGCCAAACTATAATCTTGAATGTGTTAGCTTTGTGTCTTGTGTTCGGTATCAAATAATACTGATAATTGTGTGGTTTCGTAGCCCGAGTATGTTTATTACTCTGGTTATTCTGTCTATCATATAGTCACTATGATTGGTTAATTTGATTAGTCTGTTAGTTGGTTAATTTGATTAGTTAAATAGTAAGTAAGTTAGTTATGAAAAATGTCTGGTCCAAGAGGAGTGTGTTATCATTCGACCGATCTTTGTTAATTTCTAGGAATTAAAAAGATACGCTTCAAGCCAGCCTATAATCCCTACACTGAACCTAGCATGGAAATATTTAGTTATCACGATGGTGAGTTTTTTACCAAAATTAGAACTGAATAACTGAATGATAGCTGCGTGTGTGTGCGTGCATGCGCATACAGGCTAAATTTGGTATAGTCGTTCAACATTAGGCTATAATGTTGTGTTGCAAGAGTATACAAATCAGGAGTCTATCAATATTGATAGACTCCTGTACAAATGAATACTATCAAATAATGTAGAAATAATAGTGATTGTGCTCTGTAGTACTAAATATAATCAGATGATCAGTTAAAGTATGTGTATGTTTTACATGTTGTAGGTTTAAAGAAATGGGTCGAAATTGGTAATTCAGGCATCTTCAGACCTGAAATGTTACTGCCTATGGGTTTGCCCGAGGATGTGGTAGTTATTGCCTGGGGTCTGTCACTCGAGAGGTAAATATCTTCAACGTCTGTAGCCAATATGAATGTGGGATTCTATCCATATAAATACATCCACATCAAAAATGCAAATAACAGTATATTGTCATCATGTTTTAACAAGAGGCCCAGATTAGCACTACAAGGTATGGTTTCAGATGACTAAACTCCCTGGTTCCCTCATCGTAATATGTTGTCATCAAACGAAATAACTTGCCCATTACTTACTTATACATGAAATATACTATACTTATATACTATTAATTATATCAGGAGTGAATAAGGAGTCTATTATTATTCACTCCTGATTATATACTATACTTGTACACGAAACTAACACGTAGAGATGGTAAAGTTTATGAACTGTTTTTACTTCCAATGAGGTGTCGTTATCACGGCGTGTGGAGCAAACATGTAATTATCGACACGTAGAAATGGTAAATTTTATGAACGAAATGGAGCGAACGTTCGATTATAGTGCGTCGTCGTTGCAGGCCGACGATGATCATGTATGGCATCGACAACATACGCGAGCTGGTCGGCCACAAGGTCAACCTGCAGATGGTGCAGGACAACCCGATCTGTCGTCTGACGCGCCCGGCGACGCTGGAGTCGTGCTACGTCGAGGAACCCAGCTCTCACTGGCACGGCCACATAGCACACTAACCATCATCCCGGCTCGCATTCTCTCTGGCCTCGCGATGGTGCTTAGCCTTGCGAGCTGCTTCGTCACTAGCGGGTGCTAAGACTTACAACCTGCTTGGTCACTAGGGGGGCCCTACTTTATAACCTGCTTGGTCGCTAGGGGCACTGCCTTACAACCCGCTTGGTCGCTAGGGGGCGCTGCCTTACAACCTGCTTGGTCGCTAGGGGCGCTATCTCATAACCCGCTTGAGATGCGTGATCGCTCGAGATTCCGTTGTTTAAATGTGTCGGTTGCAGACAGGTAATCATGTGTTGATTATTGCACTATTGTAAATCCATCCACTCTTATTTGCTGTCATGAAAAACAATTCTGTTGTAAGTTTGTTTAAAAGTTTGCACACTCTAAACACCTCGTGAAAAATAAGTTGGGCATTACTGGCTAATGCTGCAGAGGCCAAAATGTAGTTTGGTTGTACGTGGCGTCACACCAATTCTAATAGGTGGACTTGACAAAAAAATTACCTATCTCATCCCATAAAGCATATTCTGCTATCCCGTTACACTTTCAGGTTTGATGGTAGTGAACATACTACCCTGGGACCAAAATTAGCAAGAAGTTGTGATGGGTATATATGATGTATACACGTGCAATAGGCCTAATATTGGCTGTTGATTCTATAAATTGGTGAAGTGATAATTTAACAGATGATGGGCAGTTCGACGGCTCTATGTGAACATCGTGTGTGCGAGGGAGAGTAATGATTAAATATTTATGTTTTCATTTCTTATTCATAGTCTTCTTTACATCTGTAATGTGCATGCACGTTTATATCCTGTGACTCTTCACTCATATGCTCATATTTGAGGAGTGTAACGAAAACTGGTAGAATCACAAACAAGTATTGTTTGTGAGTTTGAGTACAGGTGAATCAAGTGTTTGCAATGCATCTTGTTTATAAAGAGCGTGCTTTCACACCAGTGAACCATAATTTGTGATATGCGCAGTAAGGTTTGTGATGTCCTAAAATATTGAAAGTAGCATAGAAAAAACGACTGCTTTAACATGGGGTTTTTATTCACATAAATAACACAGTCTGAAGTTTAGCAAATTGCATAAAATTTACAGAAAGCGTCAAAATAAGCGTTAACGTTCATAATATCGTTGTGCTGCTAAGAATATATAATTGCATATTCAATAAATAAACACTAAAAATTCACATCTCTACGCTTTGGTAAATCGGCTGAACATGACAACTCTTTAACTACCATGCCTGCGCAGTACCACAAATGCCTAATGCATAAAGACCAAGCTCGCGCAACACCATGCTTGTCAAATAAATCAACAACATGCTTTTATTATACAGTTTAGCATGTATAATAACGTTTCAAGACTATGCCTTGACATTACCAAACATTTGGTAATGGAACAATGCCCTGCATATACATTATCAGGTGCGTGTGTGTGAAAACAATCACCACCACACCTACACAATGTCTGGCATGCGCAATGAGTCGACACCAGGCGTATTCAATAGAGCTGCGCGGGACACGTCACTAACGGAATAAAATGCACGGAGATACAAAATCTATAAAAAATCTCGCCGTAAAAGCTGTCAAATTGCGCCTCGTCTCGTTCGCGGCGCTTAAACAATTTCATGCTAAACAGAGGGGAGATTGTTGCAGCTGCCGGGCGAGCGTTGCCCGTTGCCTGGCAACAGTCGGCCTGCTCCGACAATCCGACTCCAAACTGCGGGACACACTGCTGGACGGAGGGACTCACAACATCGGAGACAAAGCGAATACTTCTACAAGTATAAAGTAGTGAACAGTGTTTGGCACCACAAGGTTAAGGGGTGGGTGTAAGAGCTAGACGTAAGCATAGGCCGTTGGACATTAGTACGACCGCGTGGCCTAGAGAACTGAATCCTACACCATGGGCCTATTAGAGTAAGAGAGCTTCAGAGTAGGGCACGAGTAGTCACCCCTACATAGCCGATGCAGGAGAAGACGCGAGTATTGGTCACAGCTAGGCTAGACTAAGGAAATAGGTAGCGAGAGTTCACTCAAAGCCAAGAAGCAGGGAGGGAATGAAAAATGGTCGCTAGTATCAGGCTGAAAGCATCGATGACTGAACACTGTCGCGATATGCACGCAAAGTAGCGGCGACGACGACAAGTGTTAATGCTTTAATTGTAAGTGCAGCTTCAAACTTATACGTATTTACTATTACAGCACAACACAGCACAGACAAAACGCTATTGCTTTTCGCCCATTCAGCTATGCTGGCAAGCTGCCAACCACTGGTTGCCACACACGCACGCACGCGCGCGTGCACACACACACACACACGCACGCACGCACGCACGCACACGCACACACGCACGCACGCACACACACACACACACACACACACACACACACACACGTCTTAACACAAGCAGATGACACTACTGCTGACTGCATCATGCCTTTCAATCTCGACAGAATGACTGCATTTGATAAATAAATGCATAGGGAACACGCCTCACTAAAACGGCAATACAATCTCCATGGCAACGTACAACAAATCACACAACACACAGGAACTCACATGTTGCGGCATGGCATCAAGAGCGTATAAAGAAGGATAAAGAAGACCTTCTTTATACGCTCTTGATGGCAAGTATGGTTGGTGCACTAATAATACTAAGCGAATTTTTTCGTACAAATGCATCTGACATTGCAAACACTGATAAATCTCCTTCATTTTATTAATATCTCTTGGCCGGTTAAATTAGTGTCTCGTTAACGTTAGATACCTTGTGCGGGAAACCCATACTCTGCAATAGCCTCTGCAACAACTGATATGCAGCTACGCATTTTAATTACGTAAAACTTCTCACCCGTTGACTCGTGCTTTGAAATAATCTGGCATCAATTAGCGAGACTATGCAGCAATCTGTAAAGCAGGTAAAATAGTAATTTCCTGGTGCGACAAGAGAAAATTGCGCTCAATTAAGGTTACTAACCACGGCATTATCGGCAATTGTTGAACAGATTCCTTTTGTCATTTCAAATAATGAAAGTCACACGCAACTCTTGGCAGATCAACATCACAGCTGATAAATTTCACAACTGTTCCTTTCTCCCTTCTCTAACTGGCCCCTCACCCTATCACACATAGGCTCCGCTTTTTCCCATCAGTCAAATACCCAGTCTCACTTCATTAGGCCCTCCTTTCCCGGGTCGAACGAGCGTGACACATCGATGGAGCAGTGAGTCTGATGACCCACACTACGGTGAAGTGGCGAGTGCCACGAGGCGACTATACTAACACATCAGAGAGGGGAGATAAGGGGTTGCTAAACACAGCCAGCAAGCCAAAGAAAAGAAGCACCCATGTTTCGTTGTGCGCACTATGCATCGATTCACAGCAGCACGACAAATATTCGACACGAGCAAATACGAACAACTGCATGCCGACATCACGGGGCGCGTCGTGACATCACGGGGCGCGTCGTGACATCACGGGGCGCGTCGTGACGGCACGTGGGTGCGTCGCGAGTGCGTCACACGCCCAAAGTCACAGACGTGAGAACAGAAGTGTCGCATGCCCCATGCACCTGCGTGCGCGGACTGGCACGCAGTCACCCTATAAGCCGATTCTCTGCACAAGCTCAGTGCAACTCTCACTGCACTAGCAACACGCTGTGACATACAGGGTGTAGGCGTGCACGATCACGCGTGAGTCCAAGCACTCTAGGAACCCGTAAGCCTCTAAATATTAGTCAACAACGAGACGAAAACGGCCGTCGATAACAGGTAGAAGAATAGATCTTGCACCAGGTTACATGAGCAAACCTCATATATTAAAGATATCGTTAAGATCTCTGCCCCTCGCGCGGGAGTGTGTATATGTGTGTGTGTGTGTGAGAAAGAGAAAGATAGTGAGTGTGTGTGTATGTGTGTGTGTGTGCGTGTAAGCGCGTGTGTGCGTGCGTGTGCATGCGTGTATAGACATGTATATGGATATGTATGCTTATGCACTGAGAGCACGCACGCATCACGCGTGTGTGTACATAGTGTGTGTACGGTGCGTGCGCACCAGTCTGAACACACGGATACTAAGTCTATTAGTAATAAAGATCTGTCTCACCGCGAGGGCTTCATAAATAGTCATAAAATATCGGTACAGTGTTCGGGGGTTGTGCGACGTTGTGACTGACTAAACAACTTGCACAGGTGACTGACTGACAATGCAGTGACTAGCATACTCACGAACCCTAATAACCACCCAGTGCGTCCATGAGACCGCGGGTACACTGCTGCGACCGACCACGTGAATATCATAATCAGATCTGGATTATTCCGTCGCACCGATACAGCCGACATTTGTTTCATTCTCAGCATCAGGCTCTACCTGCTTCTCACAGCAAATGTCACTCTTATAATCACGTCTCATAAATATTTTTTTACAGTAAAGCTTTTCGGGCTGGCTGTCGCTACCTACATACCTACACGTATGTGTGTCTACTCTCGCGCGCACGCTGCGATCGAACAGCCGATGTCAGGTTTTCAACCGAGGCCAATTTCCTATTCGTCACAATGATCCGGGGCCTCCGTCTCTCTCTCAAGATATCTCACACGGTAACGAAACTCACTCCAGGTGGCGCCACTGAGATCGCTTTACAACAGCCGCCGCGTCGGAGAGATTCGCGAGGATTTTCGCCAGGAGCGCCGCAAAGCGCCCACTGAGGATTTTCCCGCTAGCGACCCCGCGGTGACCCCGCGGTGACCCCGCGGCTGCGTCTTGTTGTCTGATATGGTGATATTGCTCGTGTCATGGCCCTCCTGACGCCACAATGATGCTGCCACCCACGCGAGCGCCACCTACCGGCCGGACCGTCGGATGCTGTGCGTCGCGCAGAATCCCGATGGGACGTCGACGGCATGCGGTGGCAGCCTCGCGACAGCATCCAGTGCTCCTCTCCCCTTCGTCCGGCATCCACACCCCCGCACGCATCCGTCCTAACCCATCACGCGGCGGCAGCAGTAGCAGCAGCGACGAACGAGGAGGAGGAGGAGGAGGAGGAGGGAGAGTAGCAGGAGGAGAGGTGAAGGAGGAGGAGGAGGAGGAGGAGGAGGAGGAGGGTGTCACGTCTTCACGTCGTACTCCTCGCCCTCGGCGTAGTCTCCCTCGTCGTCGTCGTCGACGCGCGGCCGCACGTTGTCGCTCTTGCTGCTCTTGCCGCCGCCGCTGACGTCCGTCGTCGAGATGACGTCATCGTCGTCCGGCTCAAAGTCGTCGTCATACATCACCGCCCTGCGGAGACACACGCAGCAATGTTGTAAAGGCATGAAGATAGAGAAGGAGAACAAGTGCCGCAGAGCGACAGCGCTCAACTGACGTGTACTGTAGCCAGGTATTCTTCTGATAAACTCACTGGCAACCGAATCAAATGCGCCCTCCTGCCACCGCGTTCGCGCTCAGAGAATATATCTAGAATACTACTAAGTACTAATATATATAATAGGCTTTGCTATACCTACTGGTAGTACAGTAATAAAGATACAGCTGTGCAACTTTAATGACTTCGCTATATTAACATGTTATCATGGATATGCGTCGAGCGCGAGCGTAGTGGTGGTGGTGGAGGAGGGTGGGGGGAGGGGGCTCTAATAGAAAAAGCAGTTCAGTCCTTTGTTAACATTAAAAAAATCCATGTTTAACCCTCCTCTTGAGAGTTAAAAGGTTATCAGACACTTACTCTTCGCACGTCAGCGGAAAGTAGATTTTATGGTCCTTTCAATAAAGTGATAAAAACGGTAGCTCAGCGCTAAAAACAAAAAAGTTTTGCACTCGGTCCATTAGACCATGTCCTCAGAAAATGTCTGATATCTGACCTTTCCCCCACAGCCCTTTGACCTGTGACCTCCAATTTTGCGCTATTATCACACTATACATCGAATATTAAGAGCGTAGGTCGAGCCGTTGAGATTTGTGCCGCAATTCCGTATTTCCTCCTATACCTTAAGTTAAGGGGGAATATTCCCCCTCCATTGACACATCTTGACCTTTGACCCTTGACCCCCCAAATTCGACATCCCGAGTCCTTTTCGCGATCCCCCCCGACGTCCCGAATATCAAGACCGTACGTTGAGCGGTTAAGATTTGTGTCCAACTGTTGACGGACGGATGGACGGACGGACGGACAATCATGCGATTCTACAAGCTGCATCTAACTTCGTCAGCTGAGCTAAAAAGAGGAAGAGGGAGATGTAGAGAGAGAGAGAGAGAGACAGAGAGAGAGAAAGAAAAAGAAAGGGAAAGAGAGAGCAAGTGAGAGAGATAGATAGATAGAAAGAACGAGAGAGTGAGATAGAGAGTTAGAGAGAGAAAGAGAGAGAAGGCGAGAGACAAAGACAAACAGAGAAATAGAAAGAGAAAGAGAGAGAGAGTGTGCATTTGTGCATGTGTCTGCGTGTATGTGGAGATACAGCAATGTCACAGACTATGTAGCAATGACACAGTAATATAAGATATAGATGTGTGTTGGCTTACATTTGCAGGTTTAGACACTCAGTAGTATTCACGAGGCATGATGAGAGAGAGAGAGAGAGAGAAAGAAAGAGAGATAGAGAGAGAGGGAGAGAGAGAGAGAGAGAGAGAGAGAGAGAGAGAGAGAAAGAAAGAAAGGGAGAGAAAGAGAGAGGAAGAGAGAGGATGTGAAAGAGAGAAAGAGTGAGAGAGTGAAAGAGTTAGCGATAGAGAGAGAATGAGAATTAGAGAGGGCGACCACGACACTAGCACTAACGGAGACAACAACACTCACACGTCATCCTGTGGCTCAGTGGCGCCCTCTTCAGCGACGAGCAGTTCGTATTCCTCCGCTGCGTATTTCTCCCAGTCAGACATCTCTGGTCCCTCCTCGTCCTAAAGAGTGGACCGCATTAGACAATGAATGGTGAAGTGACATTGAAAAGTTTGACCCTCCAGACTAGGGTAGGAATGAGTTTAATTCTGCCGACTAGGAGATCTAGTGAGGCAAGTGTAAACCTGCTGACTAGGGTAGGGATGAATGTAATTCCACTGACAAGTACAGGAATAAGTGTAACTCTGTTGCCTATGGTAGAGATGATTGTAACTCTGCTAGAGTCTGCTAAGACAAGGGCAGGGATGAGAATAAACCTGATGACTAGGGTAGAGATGAGAGTAACTCCAAGATCCTAACATTCCAGGATCACATGGTATCATATCCTATGACAAATAACATCACGTGTCATCTCGCTAGCCTAGGACCGGTGCGGAGACATGTAACACCGTCTGGATTAATTCCAGTGTAAAAAAACAAGGCAGATGAAGGTCAGTCATCGCGTTCGACGGCTGCGCTGCCGCGAGCGTGACGGGTGATGACGCACGCGACCACACGAGCTCAGCGGCTGTGCAGCATTACGACACGTCTGCAATATGTCTGCAAACAGCCGTAGACAGGTGGCGCCGGTAACCAAGCGCACGTGCATGCGCGGCACTTGCTGCCAGGAGCACAATGAAAGCAGAACAACAACACGAGCGCATCAGTGTAACATGGTATACGTCCCAACCTATGGCAAGCACCCCCCTTCTACATTACGCACGGGCGTGGGCACGTCTAGCATACGACATGTCGTTACCGTGACTCGGACTTGACCATTTTTGACTATGCACAACGTAGAGGCGGCGTTTGCCGCAGGAGGGATGTATACGACATTACACCAACGTCGCACGTGACCCCGCGCATAGCTGACGTTGGCGGCGTACAGCCACGTGGACTCACCCGCGATGAGGCGAACGGATCTCGCTGCTCGTGATCCAGGTATTTCTCCAGGTTGAAGAAGGTGTCGAAGAAGACGGGGGTCATCTGACAGCGCTTCAGGTCAGAGAGCGTTATCGCACCTGCAACGATTCATACAGCAGTCATTGTTAGCACACCAGGTCAGGCAGCCACTGCTGTGTAGGCCATCTTGCCTGGCTTGGCAGACAATGCGCGCGGTCGCGTCCGCTAACTTGCCTGGCTAGGCAGACGCCACGCACGGCTGCGTCGGCCATCTTGCCTGGCTAGGCAGACAATGCGCACAGTCGCGTCGGCCATCTTGCCTGGCTAGGCAGACGCCACGCACAGTCGCATCGGCCATCTTGCCTGGCTAGGCAGACGACGCTCACGGTCGCGTCGGCCATCTTGCCTGGCTAGGCAGACGACGCGCACAGTCGCATCGGCCATCTTGCCTGGCTAGGCAGAGGACGCGTACTATCGCCAAACGTCTCGTACCATCGGTCAAAGTCTGGTCGTCACTGTTGACTACCGGTAGGGATAGTAGGTGATGTTTTCCAATGGTTCTTAATAGACATTTTGAGCTTATTAGATAGCCCCAGTCACACGAAACACAGACCAGTTCACAGAATTAACAAATTCCACTCCTGTAAGGTAAGTACCGGCACGCACCACCCAATACTATCTTCGTCCTTGCCTCGGACACGATCACTTAATGTGAATTCAAGCGGCAATTGATCGATTGTGCAATTAATCTGTGTGACGTCGGCACGAGAAAGTTTTGCGAAAGTAGTTTGCAAGAAGCAATTACTGTGGGTACGCACCTATTCCTTTAGGTTTCACCATGTCCAACATCTGAAACAGATCGGTGTTACATGATATTATATACGCATACATATTATCTACTTTACACAGCCATTACAACTATAGGATACTACATGGGAGATGGAGAAGCGGTGTAAACAGAGAGAATGCATGATACATGACTGTAGACAAGCCAGCCTCTGCAGCAACGTCAGAAGTAGTCCGAGCCGACGCAGACCCCAGTAATGATAAACCCGCACCCTCAGATTAGCAAAGCGGAGTTATAACGTCTGCATTTGCGGACTACGTCAGAAGCTGCGCGCGGAAACTGTAAATTTTAACACTGCAAATCATAGCCGTAGTATCGCGCACCACCGACCTGCAGTACCTGCAGTGGCTGGGTGTAGTACCTGCTCCTACACGATCCAACATTACAATGCTTGCCTGCGTGTGTGAACACAGCGCTCACGATATCTCCACACCCTGTCACAACAGTACCACCCCAAGGCCCACGTCGTCGGAAACTTCATAGCCATGACAATCGTAAAGTCTAACGCACCGTTCTGCACTACAATTCACACCAAGATTCACGACATTTGAGACTTGCGATGACACGGACACCCATGACGTTTTGACAATGGGCCCCCGGCTGCTGACTTAACTGCAACCCCCCCATCCACCCCACGCTCTAGGCGTCTCAGTGTGTCTCACCTGACAGAGACAGTCCTCGAAAGGCAGCGTCTCGATGCCGAGTGCCTCCATGCGTTGCAGCTGCTCTTCGTAGAAGTACTCGAGCTCATACATGGACAGCATGCCGTCCCCATCCAGGTCCATGCAGCGGAACCAGTACTCGATGCTGCAAACCACCACCAACAACAACAACAGTCAACAACAACAACAACAACAACAACAACAACAACAGTCAAAAACAACAACAACAACAACAACAGTCAACAACAACAACAACAACAACAACAACAACAACAGTCAAAAACAACAACAACAGCAACAATAGTCAATAATAATAACAACAACAACAACAACAACAATAACAACAGCAATAACAACAACAACAATAACAACAACAACAACAACAACACAGTCAACAATGATACTGCACGGTGCCAACAACAACAATAACACAGTCAATAATGATGCTACGTGGCACAAACAACATCAACAACACAGTCAACAATGATACTGCACAGTGCCAACAACAACAATAACACAGTCAATAATGATGCTACGTGGCACAAACAACATCAACAACAACAACATGAGCATAGCAAAGTCAACAACGATGCTGTGCGGCAGTGACGCGCAGCGCGACCTTGGCTAACACGCATGTATATGTTTAACTGGCACAATTGCTTATCTACTAATATGAGGTTTGCAAATGATGTTATTTTTCAATTCATAGGTTTAAATCGCGAGCATAAACAAGCATACCAGTTAACAAATACCTTGTGAAATTCATGGTGGTTACGTAAAACCGGGAATATTAAGAACGCGAGGACAACAAAAAGTCGTGCTAACTATCAGCGAGCTACTGACCTTCTTGCATTGCGCTTGTCTTCCTCTGAGATCAAAAACCAAACAAATTCCGAGTAGCTCATCCTGCCCTCCTGCTGTGCCTGCCCCCTGGTGACAGCTCCTGAGAATATTCGATCAACTATCCGCGCAGACAGAGCTGCAAAGAAGGGAGGATGTTTACTAGCCAGTTAAACTTCAGTGCCACGAGTAACACCCGGCAGCAACATTCATACATGAGGCTGGTGGGTAGTTTGCTTTCTGGATTTGCCCTCTACTACTGTGAAGGTGGCATGACGTGAGATTTATGCAGCTGGGGCGGCAGCATAGTGCAGTGTGGGCATGAACCACAATCTCTACCAAAACAGAGGGTGAGTAGATAAAACGGGGATGGCTTGGATCTAGCTGCTGCACAGAGAAGGATTGGAAGCCGGTATGGCCATAAACCGAACAATCTGATGGCAAGCATATCCGGAAACGGCTAGCAATCGCGTGCTCCAGAAGGATTGGAGGCGACCAGAATGAAGTGTTAACCACGAGCCTGTTTGTTTGGGACGAATCTGTCTGATGAAGTGTTCCTGATCTGCCCAAATGCAAACTAACTTCCAATATATCAAGTGTCGCCGTGACACATCGTCTTCACAACTAACAACAACTAACTTACTAACTTACAACTTAACTAACAACAAGCACTGATTGACTGTTGACACACTGATGAGTTGCATGCTGCCATATTGAATCTTTTTGAAACCACAAGGTCAGATCAGGTGGATTGAATTCAGTGGATCCGACCAAACAAACGGCCCAATTTCTGAAACTCGTAGCATGATCCAGATCATAAGATCCGCCCAAACAAACACACCCCTACTCGATCCCACATAAATAGCCCCCGCGGGGGATGAATTAAGGAGGGAATGTGACGTTGGACGGGGAACACGCCGCTCTCACCATGGTCGTTGTGCCTGCGCAGGTCGTACTTGCTGATGAAGAGATCGTGGTCCTTGTCCAGCTCCCAGAACTTGCAGTAGACCACATAGAAGTGCTCGTAGGAGAAGTAGTCCGTTATCTGATTGATGTCGTTCTCTTCCTCGAGCAAGGCTAGCACCTGCCAACAGATGCGCAGTCGTGCAAGTAGATAGAGCAGGTTTAGATTAGCTTAGTATAAAGGCTTCTGCTAGTAGAATTGGTTAGCGAATTCAGTGGTCATGTGAAATGCACGGTCTCGCAGTCTTACAAGTCATGGTTTGTGCGCCCACGGCAAAAACATTCTTCAAAGAGTTTTACACGACTTAAAAGACCCGAGGCCGTTGACAGAAACATTGTAAATAGTTATGACTATCATAAGTCTAAAAATAAACGTCATAAATTTTGTAGTAAATAGTGTGCAAAAGTTATGGCGTTTAGATTTGATGGTCATAACTACTTGTGTTGTATTCTCTAGTTTCTCCGTAAACGTGAGATTTTAGCTCAATACAATCTTCGTGTCTTGTATTGTCCATTCAATATTGAACAAACCAAACGATTACCAAACTCTCACACAAAGCAAATTATATTGTCTGTCAGAAGATATAAATGCGCTAAATCTTCAATTCTCAATTTTAAGAAACAGAGATTCTGAGACCATGTCATCACATGTTTTATTCCACTTGTTTTCTTTCCAGAACTTTCCTTATCGGCAAAACAGCATTTTAAATTCCAAAACCTTCTAGGTTTTCCAGGACCTGTACGAACGTTGGGTACATGGGGGATGTCAATTTATCTGACCTGGGATTATTGAATGTAGGCCAATTTTACGTGGCTGGGAAATGTTAACATTCACACAGTGTCGCTGTTGTTTCTTTCGTGCTTGTGTAGGTTTTGGTACTGTACAAGCGACTGGAAAAATCTCATTTTTCCAATGCCCTTGAACCTAATATCTGAGAATGGGTCCATAGCAGACAGTGTTTGACCTCCATCAAACCAAACAGCGCCAATGACACCATGCACAGTGGGCAGTGAAGTAGCTAGCAAGTCATGACACAGACGGTAAGAAGCTAGAAGAGGATTCTTTCACTTATACAGAAGATGGTATTCTAGTCATGGATTCCTTTAACAAACACCTCAAGGGGGAAGGGTAGGAGACTCTTTAACATTTGACGCAGACAGGAGGGAATCGATCAAGGGTATCTCGCGTTATTTGATGCATGGGGGTGGGTAGACACGTCTGCAGGACGAAGAACGAAAGGGCCATCCTGCTTCATAACCCACCACACCGGTGAACAAACAGCTCTCAAAGTTTACGACGGCGCACTTTAAACCAAAGTAAGCAATTAAACTGTTTTGGGTCCGCTGCGTTTGTTTGTACAGTCCGGGTAATTGACGTCACTTCGCCAAGAACCTGTGCAGACGCGAGCAGCCCCTCTCGCGCGTATAAATAGCAACTGGTTTTTCGTGGCCGGGAGTCTGGTAAACGTTTTACGAGAGGACTCAGAGAGGGAGGCTAGGCTTCATCATTGACGCACGACCTCTGGTCCGAATTCTCTGCCCGAAATGCTCCAGCGACGCTGTGAGCGCTTTCGAATGGACCTATACAGGATGTACTTCTGATCCCTTACTGAATGAATAATACTCTTATCCAGTTCATTGTGTCCTGAAACTTGTACTAGAAACTGTTTACCAACGTCTCCATAATCAATTGACTAATTGTATAGCCTATCGTTTCGTCACTATTATTTAATTGATCATTTCCTATTCCTTCCCCCCAAAATTGTCTCTTTTTCCCACCCAACCAACACTACCTTCCACAGCCTACTGTACTGCTATCTACCCATCCCCCAAAACACCACCTCCCACCACCTACTGTACCGACTATTACGCCCCCAACAACACACCTTCTCGCACCACCCTACGTACGCTATCTACCCCCCCAACACCACTCTCACTAACCGCTACATGTACGTGCTATCTACCCCCACGCCCCCACAACACGCACCTCTCTTACGCGCCTACTGTACCACTATCTACCCACCCAACACACTGCCTAACCGCCTGACTGTACACACTATCTACCCCCCAACACCACCTCGCCTACCGCGCTACTGTAGCCCAACTATGCTACCCCCTCAACACCACTCCCCTACCCCTACGTACCACTATCACCCCCCAACACCACTCCACGCGCCTTACTGTACCACTATCCTACCGTCCCGCGCCACACCACCTCTACCACCTACGTACCACTATCACGCCCCCACACCACCTCGTCACCACCTACTGTACCACTATCCCCCCAATCCCCACCTCCTAACCACCTACTGTACCACAATCTACCCCGCCCAACACCACCATCCTACCGCCTACTGCAGCCAACTAATATCTACCCCCTCCAACACCACGCTCCTACCAACCTAACTGTCCCATCATCTACCCGGCCCCAACACACTCTCCTACCGCCTTAACTGTACCACTATATCTACCCCCAACCACCACCTCCCACCACCTACGTACACTATCCACCCCCCAACACACTCCTACCACCTAGCTGTAGCCCACTATCTACCCCCCCCCAACACGCACCTGCCTACGCGCCACTGTACCACTATCGTACCCGCCCAACAACACTCTCCTACGCAGCCTACTGTACCACTAATCTACGCCCCCCAACACCCCCTCCTACCCGCCTACTTAGCTCACATCATACCGCCCAACACCACCTCCCACCACCTACTGTACCACTATCCACCCCCCAATCACCACCTCCTTCACCACCTACTGTCGCTCAGGCTATCGCCCCCCAACACACCACCTCCGTACCACCTACTGTACCACTATCTACCCCCAACACCACCTCCTACCGGCCTACGTAGTCCACTAATATATCACTACCCCCCAACACCACCCCCACCTACCTACCTGTACCACTATCACACCCCCCAACACCACTCCTACCCACTACTTAGCCACTATCTATCCCCCCAACACGCACCTCCCACCGACCTACTTGTATGCCACTATCTATCCCCCAACACCACCTCCTACCCGCCTAACGTACCACTAGCTACCCGCCCAATCACCACCTCGCTACCCCACCTACGGGTACCAACATCTACGCCCCAACACCACGCTCCCCCAACCAAAAAAAAAATAAAAAAAAAAAAAAAAAATAACTGTAGCCACTTATCTACCCCAACACCACCTCCTACCGCCTACTGTACCACTATCTACCCCCCAACACCACCTCCTACCACCTACTGTACCACTATCTAACCTCCAAACACCACTCCTAGCCGCCTAAACTGTAACACTATCTACCCCCCAACACCACCTCGCTACCACCTACCTGTAGCCGCTATCTACGCCTCCAACACCTACCTCTTCTATCTCGCCTATCCTGTACCAGCTCATTCTACCCCCAAACACACCTCCTACCACTACTGTACTGCTATCTACCCCCCCAAACACCCACCCCTACCACCTTACTTACCACATACCCTCCAACACCAACCTCCTACACCTACTGTACCACTATCTAGCCCCCCAACACACACTCCTACCCGCCTACTGTAAGCCACTAATCTACCCCTCCAACACCACCTCTTACCACCTACTGTACCACTATCTAACCCCCCCAACCAATCTCCTCACCGCGCCTACCGTACAATATCTAAACATCTCACTCCCCATACAGCACGGAGAGCCGGCAGTACCAGTGTATGATTAGGATGGAGAGAAATTCCAGGTGCACTCCAAAGTCGACCGTAAAGCGATATTTCACAAAACGAAATGACGCTCGGTGGCAAATCGGTCATTTGCGCTCGCGCGCAGCGCTAATTCGCTACAAAACGCATTCGACGTTGCACTCGATGCGATCGTACAATATTAATATTTAATTATTATTAATCATTAACTACCATGATTAAATATTACTAAATTCGCCACTATTCATACAAGG